AAGTGCTCGGCGATGAGCACCAGCTGGAAGCGCTGCTCCACCTCGGCCAGGCGCGCGCGGACGTAGCTCTCCTCCACCGGCGCGTTGGGGTCGAAGCCCAGGTCGAACCACATGTGGTTCCGGGCGTAAGCGTTGTTCAGGCTCGGGCTCTGGTTGTAGTAGGTGTGCGGGGCCGCCAGGAAGGCGTCCAGGCTCGGGGCGGCCCTGAAGGCGGGCGCGGCGCGTCTGTAGTAGGTGAAGGAGGACTCCAGCTGGAAGATGGGGTTTCTGAGGATGGAAAAGTATAGAGTGTCGTTGGGCATCACTTTCTGCACCTGTGCGGAGACAGAATGAGGGCTGGTGACGCTCCGGGCTTCTTCCAGAAGCTCAGGGGGCAGGTGTCCTCACCCCCCACTACCACCACCCACTCCCCACTGCACACCTGACCCTGCCCACCACCTCTCCCACTGGCTTCCCTGCATCTCGTCCACGCTACCTTGCTCCCTTGACTGCCACTTTCCACGAGTGTCCAGAATGATCCTAAAACACTTGAACTTGGCCCTGCCCTTCCCCCAAACTCCCTCCACTTCCCCGTCTCTCTCCTGGAAGGGCAGTCAGGGAAGCCCCCAGGAGGAGGTGATCTCTAAGAATCTGAGACCCAAATGACCCACAAGAGGAGGTGTGAAGAGCATCACACTGAAGGGGATGACAGCACATGCAAAGGTCCTGGGGTGGGAAGACTGTGCGGGTTGGGAACAAGAGGAATCTGGAGAAGGAGGAGAAGGTGTGGGCAGCCTCCTGGTAGGCTGTGAGGGCACCCCTATCTGATTCCAAGAGCAGTAGGGTTGGAACAAGAGGAATCTGGAGAAGGAGGAGAAGGCGGCAGGCTGTGAGGGCACCCCTATCTGATTCCAAGAGCAGTTGCAGGCCACTAGAAGTGGAGGTTGGAGTGGCAGGGTCTTCCAATGGACAGCTACCAGCCCCCTCCAGCCAGGTCCCTGTACACACCCCACAGTCTCTCCAGTGGCCAGGCCTGACCCCTCCCCGCATGGTCACGCCACAAAGTGCCTTCAAGGCCTGCGGCTGAGTCCTGCCCCTCCATTATGCCCCATCTCCCACCTACAGAGGGCACGCCCCCAGCCACACCTCGGGCAGGTTAAACCTCAGGTGGTTGCACATGATGTTGAAGTGCCGCTGTGGGCCATCCTGCTCCACGCCCTCCACGTAGCGCGCCAGGAAGAGCCAGGGGTAGCCCAGGTGGAAGCGCGAGCCGGCTGGCAGCGCCACCGACAGGTTGTGCCTCTCAGCAAAACGGAAGAGGATGTTGAGCACCGTGCTGCTGGCGGTCTTGTGCGTCTTGAGAAACATGATATTGGTGACGGGCAGCCCCTCAGTCTGGCCCCCGAGTAGGCTGGGAGGACAGCATGCTGCCATCAGTGAGGGACACTGCCCCCCCTTCACCCCCAACCGGAAATCCCCACTGGGAGAGACCCCAACCCAGCAAACCTCCCAGCTGCATGACCCAGCAACCCCCAACTACATGACCTCAACCCAGCAGCCCCCCAACCCACACTTCCCATAGTGGTGACATCCCAACCCTCCCAGCCTCATCACTGTGGTCCCTCTAACCTAGAGACCCCCCACCCTGCAGCCCCCAAGGACCCACTGGCACAAACATGATTCTCCCTAAGTGGCTGCATCATCTGCCCCTCATGTACTGCAGGCTGGACCCCTAGACGCTGGCACCCCTCTTGGCCCCCCAAATTCTTGCCTGGCACCTGGGGCACCTGACATGGTGCTGGCCCTGTGGTCTGAGCCATGTGTTTGGCATTTCTTGGCTGATCCTTCATATCAGGATGGGCCAACCTGACCGCAGGGCAAGAGTGGAGGCTGGTGCCCCCAGCGGTGGATTCCAGCCTGGAGCAGCAAGGCCCCAAAGCAGGGCCAGTAAGAGGGACCCAGGATGGGGGAGGAGGGCAGGGTCCAGAGGCCTACACTGGCCCTGGGGACAGTGAGGAGGTGGGGGTAGCAAAGAGACCCAGGGACTTTGGCATTCCCCCATATCCCAAGGAGATCCAACCAACATTGGCCGTAAAGACAGGAGGAGGTGGCCTGGGGCCACAAAACCCTCCCAGCAGCCAGGCTAAAGTGCTGGGCCTGTGTGGCCATCCCCATGGGCCCTGGGCTTCACAGAGGACATACCACTGGCAGGCAGGGAGCAGGGGCCTTGATCTCCCCAAACCTAGGCCCTAGCCCTGCCTCCCAGCACCTGGTCACCCTCTGCACACAGCAGCTCTTCCCAAGACACCCCCAGCCCAGGCCCAGGCCCCACCCTCCCAGAGTCCTCCTCACCGCCCAGAGGACTCATTGGGAGGGCCTCAGTAAGCTAATGGGTCCCAAAAGGAAGGGCCCACCCCATCTAGGAGATGTGACCTGCCCCGGTCACTGGCCGATGCTTGGAGATAGGCAGGCTGGGGCCCAGAGCGTGCCCAGACCACAGGGCACCCAATGCAGCACTCACGGTGTGAGCATTTCCACATCCACATGCAGGAGGCCAACCAACAGGAGCAGGAGCAGGGTCAGGAGGAGGAGGGTCCAGAAGCGCCTGTGGGCGGGGGAACCAGTGAGCCCCCCAGTCAGGGGCACAGGAGGGACCGATGCCACCCACCCCACCCACCTCAGCTCAGCATCGTCCATGTAACAGCTCCTATTGAACCTGAGTGGGTATACCCTCTGCCCCTCATGTGCCACAGGCTGGGCCCCTGTACTGTGTGCCGGCCTGTGCAGGCCCTGGGTGGATGGATCATCAGACTCTGCTCCCCGTTGGCCCCCTGCCACACTCCCCACTGCCCAAAGCCAGGGGAAGCCAAGAGGCAGAGCCCTTCTCTGGGAAGTGGGCAGGAATCTGACAGGTGGAGGTGAGAGCAGGTCAGCGGTCCCTGGAGACTGGCCTGACTGAGACCCCTGAACTCACACCCAGGGACACATCCTGGGTGGGGGCAGAGAGGTAGTAAGTACATCCTGGCATTCCACCCCCCACAGAAGGGAAGGAGCCCCACAAAAGAGGACACTTAGAGGGCCCGCCTGGGTTCCAGGAACTCAGCAGGTGGGGTTCAGGCAGTAGTCCCTGGGCTGGGACACCCAAGGGAGACACGGTGACCAGATCAGGGAAGGGACAGGCTAGGACAAGGCGCCCCATAGTGTAGGGCTGTCCCTCACTGTCATGATTGGCACCACCTCTCAGGACCTCTGAGTTAAAGGGCACAGAGCCTTTGTCCAGAGAGGACATGTGCAAGGATTTGTCCTGGAGTCACCACGTACCCCTTGACACCTGACCTGCTCTACCCCATGGAGTCCCAGGGGGTCACTGATCCCCACTGGGCTCAGGAAGATCACATATCTCGCCTGAGGCCACTCACTAGGGAAGAGGCTTGTGGCCCAGAGACACATTAATCCGCAGGCCACACTGTCCCCGCCGCACAGCACCGGTGCCCTTCCACACGGGCAGGTGGGGAAGCCTCCTGGGGCGCTGGAAGAGCCAAGGCACACCAGCAAAGCATGTCCAGTGGAAAGAACCAGGTCAGGACACAGCGGCACCATTGTGGGGAGGGACACGCTCAGGTGGATGCCAGAGACCCTGAGGGTTTGCCCAGGAAGGGAAATGTGCACGCTGCAGACACTTAACACTCTGCATGCACTGAGCACACTGCACACCCTGCACACAGTGTGGGCACTGCACACACAAAGCACACACACTGGGGACACTGCACACACAAAGCACACACAAAGCACACACACTGAGGACACTGCACACACAAAGCACACAC